TTTAGGGCTTTGGAGTTTAGGGTTTAAGGTTTAGGGTTTAGGAGTTTAGGGTTTAGGGGGTTTAGGGTTTATAGGGTTTCGGCCTCAAGTTGAGGCTCTTTACACTCTATGCTCAGCTATCACGAACTCCGTTGGGAAGTCTTCTTTTCCTACCGAAGGTGACCGAAATCGAATAGCCTAGATGCGCCTGAATCCGAACCTAGAAAGCACAGCTTCAAACTTGAAAGCCCATGTGTTTCTGTCTGTTTTTGCGTAGTTCTCTGGGTCCCTCCAGACAGTCACAAGAACTGACCATGCCGGCAGGAAGTATCATCTATCCAACACTGTCAGGGTGCACGTGCATTTAACTAGCTTCTATGTTGTGTCATGCGTGTTCATATTTTTCTAGCTTCGGGCAAGCGGGGGTCTATGAATATACCGTGTGAATACTCAGATCCTCAGGGCTGCTACTCATGTTGTACCAACAAAGACTGCTACGGTTGATGATATAAATCCTGCCATACTCATAACAAGGAATATACAATAATTCCCATAGTTTAGGGTCCTTAAGGCCATGCAGGATTTGTATCATCAACAGTACTGGCATTCAAGTTAACGGCCGCTGCTAGACTTAGTTCAACCCTAAACCCTAAACCCTAACCCTAAATCCCCTAAGCTTGCTTTGGAATTCCTCTCCTTTGCCTCAAAGGTGAGGAAATCGTTCACCTCCGCCATTGCCAGTTCCGGATGCTCCAGGCAGGTGAAGTGTCCGGACCTTTACTTGGAGGCTCATGGGTAGGGTTCAGGGTTCAGGGTTTAGGGTTTAGGGTTTAAGGTGTTTCACATCGCATAATATGGGTTACAGGAGGCTCATGGGTAGTTATAAGTAGGGTTTTATATCCCCCAATATGGGTTATAACTATAGTTACCGTAGTTATAAGTAGGGTTTTATATGCCCTAATATGGGTTCTAACTATAGTTACCCTACTTAGAAGCCCGCGTATAGCTACCCGTGAACCTCCAAGTAACTTCACAACTTCACAGACTGGGCCATGCAAGGCTCCAAAACCCTGCAAACCCCTACACCCCTAGACCCCAAACCCTGTACGCCCAAACCAGGCCCGCTTCAAAGCACCTGCAAGCCTTCCCCAGTTTTTCTTTCGAGGCTTGGAAGCATGGCTGCACAGTCTCTTTGTGACTGCAGGGGCCTGGAACAAGCAAGACTAGGGCACTACGGTCTCGGTGACTTCTTTGCTCAAAAATATGCACAAGGAAAACGGCTGACAATTGGCTCGCGGGCTGGGGGTATCTGGATCTGACCCTCAACCGTCAGAAGTTCACGGTGCCTTCTCCGCTTCAGTGTTTGGGCCCCTAGGGGCCTTAATAATTAGAATCGGGTTTCGGGGGTTCCTTATTATAACTATATAGGCCCAAATCCCTATTCTAAGTATTAAGGCCCCTACCCAACAACCAACCCTAAGTCGGCTACGAGGGTTTCGGGTCGGGGCTTCGGGTTTAGGGCTTCAGTAAAAGGGCTGTGAGTTTTCATGGCCAATGTCTTAAACCCTGCACCTAAACCCTAAACCGTGCAAGCCATAAACCCTGTAGGAATATCAGTGCCGAAGCACAGGGTGTCGACAACGAGCCGAGCATTTCGCATGGCCTTGGTCGGACGCACTAAAAACGCGGGCCTGAATAGTTGGAGTCGGATTTGCGGAGGCTTGGTCATGTAATTCCAATCCTTTTGCATCAAAATAGCCCAAAAGCCTTAAATAATAGGATCTTTGGGGCCAGAAGCCTTAAAATATGAGTCCTTTGAGGGTAAGGGAATAGGAAGTCGGGTCGTATACTACATCTGCATTGGGAAACCCTAGCCCACCCAGGAAACATGGCTGATTACAAACTACGGTTGATGATATAAATCCTGCATTACCCCAGAATAAGTAATGGTACCATAATTCCCATAGTTTAGGGATCCTGGAAGTAATTCAGGAAGTAGATCATCAACAGTATCCCTAAGCCCCTAAACACCTAAACCCCAAACCCCTCAACCCTCAACCCCTGAACCCTAAACCCTGGTATGCTTTTGAGCTTTTGGGGCTCAGGCTGTGCATGTCAGCTGCCGTTGTCCTCATCATTACACCCAAGACAAACACTCTAAGACGATTCCACACATGATTTAAAACGGTGATAACAGCCCTCTCTCCAAATATGTGCCAGGGGGGTTGATTGGGGGATTGAAGGATAATTGGGCCGAGGATACCCCGCCATGATCGAACTCCATCGCGGCTTTTGTTTGGTCTGTTTTGTTCCTTTGCTGTTGGGGATCACGAGAGTACGACCGTCAGCATCTGAGCTCAACCTCTCCTAAGCCCTCCAGGCCCCCGACACGGTTCATGGTGACCATGTTGTATGCCGGTGTCAGGAAGTCCCAGATACCAGCAATCAGCAAAGTCGGGTGCCCAAGCTCATGCAGGAGATGACCTGCACCCATGGACTCCAGCAATTTAACGAAGGAGCATACCCTAACCCCCCAGGTACCTACTATACAGGGCCCTAGGGGCTCTAGTACCCTATATAGTAGGTACACGGGGGTTAGGGATATTTGTTTCCTCTGTCACGCGGCTTTACGTGATACGAAATTGTTGCATTGTCGTGTGGCCCTTCGATTTAAAAAAAACTACACGGATTTCATGATGAATGGCTGCTGGGCTCTCCGTGCGCATGTTCGAGTGCGACTGTTGTGGGGACAATTCCTAGGGCGACGGTTTCATGGACGCAAACCCTGAAGCCCAAAAGCAACGCAACACTGCAAACCCACCAGCCTCGAATTTAGGGACACAGCAATTGAAACGGGGCTTTAGGTTTATCGTAGTCATTGTGTCTTGAGTAACGCCAAAGAGTAGTCGGGTGATTATCCAGGCATCTGTATTAAGTAAACCCTAAACCCTAAGCTTTATTATAAACCTTCAATGAGGTGATGGGGCTTCAGTTTTGTCTTCCCAGAGACCTAACCCCCGAAAGTAACAAATTCTCTTTCAGTTGCAGTAGGAGCCTGGGGTTCTAGGTTTAGGCTTGGTTTATTTTCGGGTTCAGGGCTAAAGTGAAGTTAAGGTGTTCATGACTGAAAACGACACCGGATTCCTTGGCTTCCTTCCCTCTCCCTGCGACAGAAAGCCGCCTGTGGAATGGGCATCAAGGACCTGGAAGCCGCGCAGGAAGGCCTTCATGCTCTTGGTGTTGGAGCAAATCCCACCTGGTCTTCCGCTGCAATCCAAAAGCCGAAACCCTAAACCCTAAACCCCTAAACCCCGAAACCCCAAGCCCATAAACCCTACACCCTAGAACCCTAAAGCCCAAAGCCAGAGACTAATCACAACAACCGCAGGCGCGAAAGGGGAGCTGCGGGGTTTCAGGGCTCTGGGGCTCTGCAAACCCTGGGCCCCAAACCCTAAACCCCTAAACCGTAAACCCAAAAACCCCAAGCCCAAAACCCCTAAACCCAATCACCCTAAACCCTAAACCTGAAGTTTCAGGATCAGGGCTCAATTGGTCAAGGGGATGAATGTAGGGGCCTTCATAATTAGAATCGTGTTTGGGGCTCCTTTACAGTAATATTATAATCAGGAACCCTTACAGTAATATTGCACATTATCTAGGCTTCTATAATCAGGTTTGTAGCACTGTTGTTATCATATACGGAGCCCAAACAGCAATCGTGGTAATTATCTAGGCTTCTATCTTAAGGTTTCGGCCTTTAGGGCCCGAAAATTCCGAGACTCCCCTAGCATCGAGAAGTCCCTGTGGGAAGCCGAGGCAGCTGACAGTGGCTTCTTCCGGGTACTCAGGGCTTTGGGTCTAGGGGTGGGGTTTAGGGCTTAGGGGTTTAGGGATTTACGGTTTCGGGTTTAGGGCTAGGCATGCTAACTTCAGATGCTGGGTACAGCGCTCTACCCCCATGTTTGTTGACCTCACAGTGAGCGTACTCTTACGCGGGTGATGCCATTGAGCAGATCAAGGGCCTCGTGCACCGAAGGACCCCAGACTTAAAGGAAGTCAACCCCCAGCCTTGATTGAACCCGACTTGAGACCAAAACTGCTCGAATATAGGGGCCTTAATAGTTAGAATAGGGTTTTGGGGCCCATTATACTATAGTTATAATAAGGACCCCCCCCCAAAAAAATATTATTGGTAAGTATTATTAATTATTCAGGCTCCTATAATATTAATTTTGCGCGCTGGGCAGGGTCCCCACAGCAACAAGGAGTTGTCGGGGGTTGCATGAGATCATGAGGACGCAGGAATTGCAAAGAAATCACACTTGCCTGCGTCGTACACATCGAGGCTACTATAGGGGCCTTAATGATTACCTTAGTATTTTTTTGTTTTTTTTTTGGGGGGGGGTCCTTATTAAGATTATAGTATAATGGCACCAAAACCCTATTCTAATTATTAAGGCCCCTATATTACTGTATTACTGTATCAGCGGCTTCGGGGGGGCCGAGGCTTCCAGCTTTTGCCGGCAGGCCCAAGTAGTGGTCCCACACCTGGTGCATATAGTCCTTGCCTAGGCTTGGCATTTGGGTTTAGGATTTAGGGTGCATATAGTCCTTGCCTAAGCTTGGCGTGTCGGGATTTTGCCAGCTGCAACAACCCCAAGACGGACCTCGCCAAATCCTGACATGAAGGTCTGCGTAGCCAACAATTAAATACTATACAGCATACCCCAAACCCCATTGCACCTGTTACCCCAAATAAATACCACATCATAGACACGCAGAGTTCGTCATCTGCAAGGTTGTGGAACAAGAAACGGGGAGTGTGGGTGAAGAGATCCTACCCTCTAAGTTACCTAGGCAATTAATAGGCTACTGAAACAACTGCGGCGGCAACGGCAGGAAACCTCGTCTCCCTGCTCTGTTTCACCACAAACCCCTAACATACTCATCGCATAGCAAACCGGCAGCAGGTAATTGAGAACCCAGGAAACAGGGTCTTGAACTGCTGTCAAAGCTTTGAGTCAGTTTCAGATGTGGTGTTTCAGTTTTTCTGGGTCTAGGTCGGTGTAGGTATCGGGGCTTCAGGTGGATCAGCGTCAAGGCGTAGAGATTTAGGCAATGGGTGATCTGGGGCTGTGGAGCTAGGTATAAGACTAAGATGTAGTTCCAGCTACCTATAGTCTCCATCGTAATTAGCTCCTTTTCTGGTTACCAAATTCCATATTGTAGGCTCTAACCATAAAAACCCCAGAAAAGGAACTACAATGGAGACTACGGGTAAGGCTAATGGAGCACCGAGCTTCGGCTTTTCTGGCAGAGATCAGGACCCGTCCCTAAAGGAGGTCGAGTCCAACCGGTCTGAATCCAGGGTTTCGGTTTCGGGTTTAGGGTGAAGGGTTCAGGGTTTTGGGTTTAGGGTTTCGGTTTAGGGTTCAGGTTATTTACTTGAAATCCACAGAATAACCAACGCCTTAATACACACCATATGAACTGGGGATCGTATCTCTACTATCCCTGTGACACAACCCAAGAATCTTGACTCGCCAAGTATTCACCGAATACGCCTCAAGCCCTGACACTTCTCGAACAATAAAAGAACCCGAAAGTCGGACCGAAAGTATCAAACCTACTTCATCCAGTCCTCCCGAGCACCTTTATTCTGTCTGCCAGGCCACCGTAGAACTCCGCAAGCGCGCGGCTCCCGAAGAGAAGCGTCAGCAGGCCTTTTTCGGAGCTCGGGCTTTCGGGTTTCACAGGGCCTTCGGGCTCGAAGGCTTCGGGCTGAGGGGTCGGCTTCCGGTTCATGGTTTAGGGTTTAGGGTTTAGGGGGTTTGGGGGGTTTAGGGGCTTAGGGTTTAGGGGTTTAGGGTTTAGGGGTTTAGGGTTTTGGGGGGTTAGGGGTTAAGGCTCCTTCGGGGCTTGATTAGATTTGTCTAGGGTGCTGGTTAGAGATATCGTATGATGCAGGATCGATTGGTTTAGGGTGTGAAGGGGGTGCTGGTTATGGATATAGTACTGTTGATGATGTAAACCCTGCATCACCTTAAGGACCCTAAACAAACGATGGGAACTATTCTGGTACATTCCTTATTTTGGGGTAATGCAAGTTTATATCATCAGTCGTGTGATACAGTAACACTATAGAATCACAGTCCAGAACACCCTGAAACTCCAAAGTACCTATATTGTAGAATGCAGGGTTTCTGAAAAAGGAATCCTTATTATGATTCGGGGAAGTTTCCCCATAACAATACCTACGACCCTCTAAACCCTAAACCCTAAAGCCCTAAACCCTAAACCCTGAACCCCAAACCTTAAACCCCAAACCCTGAACCCTAAACCCCAAACCCTAAACCCTAGACCCTAAATCCTGAACCCCAAACCCCCCTTTCAAAACAGCCCAGAACACCCTGAAACTGAAGCTTCCCGAAGCTCCCGCGGCAGTGCTGCGACGCTTTTTCCTTGTGTTCAGGTTCCACAAAGGGACCCCCAGAAGTCAAAACGATAAAAGGGTTTAGGGTTTTAGGGTTTGGGGGTTTAGGGTTTAGGGGTTTAGAGTTTGGGGGTTTAGGGTTTAGGGGTTTAGGCGTTTATGGGTTAGGGGGTACTACCGGGCAACCTATGACCACGGCTGCCAGGGGGCGGAAGAAGAGCCCGATGAAAGGGTTCAGGCAGATCCGCATCGATTCGAGAATCCTTCGTCAGTCCGAAGTGTGGATTTAACGCCAACTTTTCTGTAACGTGCCTGTGGGGTGGGGTTTATGTCTAGTTTGTGTAGTGCTTCCGGTGCCAAGGGGTTTGGCTTTACAGGCAGCTTCACTGCCGCCGAAAAGCTCTAAACCCTAAACCCCCTAACCCTAAACTGCTAGAAAGCAACGATACTTGGCCAGGGCACCATCAAGGCGAAGCCCCTGACCCGAAACCCATAAACCTTCGTGCAACCAACTCTTGATAACACATCATAGTACCCTACAGTCTATAGTATCCTTATAAAGCCCCCATAAAACCCTATAGTACTCTAAAGTCTATAGTACCCCCCATAAAGCCCCCCCATAATAGAGAAGAAACACCCTATATAGTCGGTAGTACCCTGACATACCCTCATAAAGCCCTCCCCATCATAGAGAAGAAGCACCCTTCAAAAGGGCACCCCCCGAACCCTAAACTCTAAACCCTAAACCCTAAACCCCAAACCCCAAACCCTAAACCCCAAACCCTAAACCCCAAACCCTAAACCCCAAACCCTAAATTCCAAACCCCAAACCCTAAGCCCCAAACCCTAAACCCTAAACCCTTGGGACCGAGGCTCTGTTCGTGGCCTTGCTCCAGGAGCCAGAAAATGATACTGCTGAGCAGGCCGCCCACGTAGGGAAGCCGGAGCACGGGTTGGAAGCCTTTGGAGAGTCTTAGGGTTTAGAGGCTTAGAGGCTTAGGCGTTAAGGGTTTTGGGGGTTTAGGGTTCAGGAGTTTAGGGGCTTAGGGGTTTAGGGCTTAGGGGCTTAAGGGCTTAGGGTTTAGGGGTTTAGGGTTTCGGGTTTAGGGGCTTAGGGGTGAAGGGGTTTAGGGGTTTAGGGTTTAGCGTTTAGGGGTTTAGGGGTCGAGGGTTTAGGGGTTTCGGGGTTTAGGGGTTTCGGGGTTTAGGGTCTAAGAGGAAGTCTGGGGCTTGAAGGGGTTTATAGGGAATCCCAGAAAGTTGGAACGAGGATTTAGGATGATTCGTACTGGGATTCCCTATACTTTACCGTAGGGTTTCGACTTGGGTTTTGAGGGTTTAGCTTTCGGGCTTTCGGGTTGAGGGCTTTTACAGCTTAGGGCTTGGGGCTTTCGATGTTGGGGGGAATCTGCTGAGGACTTTACTTTAAATCTAAGATATTGTGGGCCTTGTCAGTAACAACAACTTTGCTGGGGGGCCTATTATTTTGCAAAAATATTAAGGCTACGACTGTATTTAACCCCAAGCCTTTCAGGACGCTTTTGGAGGACTTTTTTTAACCCCAAGCCTTTCAGGACGCTTTTGGAGGGTGGTCAGGAAGTGTCATTCATTCACCTAGGGTTTAGGGTTTAGGGACGATGAGCAGGACTTTCCTGATGTCATGGTGATGGTCGGAGGTGCGGCTTTCACCGTCACTCTATGCAAGCGGAGGGCTTTGAGCATGCTGCTTCTTGTAGCTGCTGATGGCTGCTGCGACAAGTATGAACCCCAAACTCTAATTCCTGTGACCCTTGCTGCGGTCATCGTGTCTTCTGGCCGAACAGATGCCCTAAACCCTAAACCCTAAACCCCTAAACCCTAAACCCTGAGGCCCAAATTTCTGAGCACGAGGCCCGTCTGCAGTGCTTGCCCGTAGGTTCCGTTGAGGAGGACCAGAGATCCCACCTGCTGCATGGGAGTCAAAGGTTTCCAAAAGACTTAGGGTAGTGAGCTTTGAGAACAGTACCCTAAACCCTAAACCCTAAACCCTGAACCCTAAACCCTAAACCCTAAACCCTAGACCCTAGACCCTAGACCCTAAACGGTAACGTTTGGATTTCTGCAGGCTCTTGTGGCCAGGACCTCAAAAGATGCCTTCATCAATGCCATGTCGAGGCCTCAAACATCAGATTCCTACATCGGCATTAGTTTCAATATATATATATATATACATGTATATATATATATATATATACATACAGCTAATGCAGAGCCTGGGCAAGTCCCGCAGACCCGTCGATGCTTTCTCCTGAACCCAAAGCGGAAAGCCCTAATCTCCGAGCCTTTCAATCTTGGCTGAAGCAATAAGAGACTGTGGAAACTCGCTTGAGAACTCGCTTGGTAGGGACCTGCAGACTGGGTCTAGAGTTCCATTTTCTCAGAAGCATTTCCTGGCAGGGGGTAGCGGATTGTAGGGGTACGGCTTCAGGGTGAAGACCTCGGGGTTTAAGGCCCTGTCCGTCCCAGCATGCATTGAGTGACAGCCGCCTTGTCAGGGAACAGCAAAGCGAACCTTGGCCGAGAGTGGCAGACCAACTTCCTCCCTGAAACCAAGCCTAGAAGAACCCTAAACCCCAACCCCCAAACTTTCAATCAAACGTCCCCTAAACCCCGAGCCCTTAAACCCGAAAACCTACGGCCTACATGTAAACCCTCCTAACCCTACCTATAGTCTCCATTCTAGTTCCCTTTTCTGGTTTAACCAATTCTACGGTAAAATTACTGGATATTATAAGGTAACCCCAAACAGGAACTTCAATGGAGACTATAGGCCCTAAACACTAAACCATAACCCTTAAACCAACCATAAAAAGGAACTACAATGGAGACTATAGGTAAACCCTGAACTAGGGGGTCTCCCAGAGCCTATGCTCTGGGTCTCAGGGTCGGAACTCGAGTCAGCTAGCAAGGCCCATCCATTTGTAAGTTTATGTATATATATATATATATGATTATCTTTATGTGTAGAGTTATGTATCTAATTCTTCATCCATGTATTTACATGTTCTGATTTTGTAATCGAAATTCAGTCAAGTCTCTATTTCGTTACCTTCTATGTAGATTTCAGCATATGATGTAAATATACGCGCATAAATGTCAGAGTGTTCAACAGTCGAGAAGCTCCAACCCAACTTGGACGCCCATGCTGTGGCCCACGAGAAGGTCCTGCATAGGCTTGTTAAGTCGTCTAGGGTTCAGGATTTGGGGATACCCATAGGCTCCATTAAGGGTTCGGGGTTTGGGGTACCCGTAGGCTCCATTGTAGTTCCTTTTTGGGAATACCTTGTAGGATTCTAAATATAAACCACAAAAAGGAGCCACAATGGAGCCCATGGGTATACAGCATTCTGGGGTTGAGGGCTTTGAGCTTATAGTCATCAGACTTTTATAGGGTTCAGGAGTTAGGAGCTTGGTGGTTTTGACGCGATGGCTGGGGACCTGTGGGTGTGTAGGGCTGGAGGCGTGGCAATTAGGGTTTGGGGTTTAGGATTTAGGAGTGTTTGAGGGTTGGCACTTCGGGTTTAGATGAGGAAAAAAACACGCAAAGTCCAGTGGCGTCAGGGTCTACACCTTCTGAACGCGATGCCTCCGGGGTTCAAACGAGCGAAGGCGTAGCGTAGGGTCTGCAGCATGTAGTTTGTGTAATCAGGTAGGGTTTGGGGATACTATTGCTGCTACTACTAGCCATAAACGGTTCATTCTGGGAAATACGATTGCCAACCGTAGTATCACCAAACTTTTTCGGGGTGCTACTACTACTACTACTACTACTACTACTACTACTCCTGCTGCTGCTACTACTACTACTACTACTACTAACTACTACTACTGCTACTACTACTACTACTACTACTACTACTACTGCTACCACTACTACTACTACTACTACTACTACTACTACTACTACTACTGCCAGCTTCGCAGCTTCAGGCACTCTGAACAAACCACTGCAACACAATCGCCAGCCTTCAAAGCAAGTATAGGGTATGCCCCACGTCCCAACCAAGCGATCTGCCGCAAGTCACCAGCCCCAGGGTACGCAGAGACACCGGGGGCTGTCACTGTAAGGGCAGGATTGATCTCGAACAGGCCTAGTGCGAAGTACACCTAGAGGACCTAGCTCCTTTGTCATGGATCTTGTTTGGCCAACTAGACGGTGTGCATAAGCATGGCGGTATAGGAAATGTGGCTAAACATGGGCCAACTAGACCGTGTGCATAAGCAGGACGGTGTAGGAAATGTGGCGAAATATGGGGACTTCATAACTATAGGCTTCTTTATGCTATGGGATATCATAACTCCTTTTTGGACCCGACTGTAACCTCCGGTTGCCCAAATCGGGGTCCGCTGGTCGATCACCGACCACTTCACGCAGAACCACTGCGGCATCTTCGGCATGATTTCCTGGGAGGTGCGAGACTTCTTACGGACGCGGCTCTTGGGGCGGTTCAGGTTAGAGGTGCAGTGGAGCTTAAACTGAGTAACTGGGGGACTTTGATTGTGGCCAAGGTTTTTCGGTTGGGAAAACATTGCTAAAACCCTGCAAGCGCTAAATCGACAGCAATCACCAGACGGCACGACTATATCTTCGTATTGACGTTCTTCAACGAGAAAGCTGGCAGAGATACCCTAAACCCTAAACCTTCGGCCTTGAACCCTTAAGCCGTAAACCTTAGACCTTAAACCCTAAACCTCAAACCCTGAACCGTGCAGAGATACCAGAATCCACAACGGCTCCGACAGAAATCCGCCAGGGCAGGGCTCAAATAGTCCAAAAACTTCACATACCATGGTCTTGGGGTCCATACTCGGAGGTTCGTGGGTAGCTCTAAGTGGGGTTATAAGTAGGGTTCCCTTATAAAGGGTTCTATAAAGTTGTATAGTATTTTAGGGTTTAGGGGTAGTTATAAGTGGGGTTATACGTAGGGCAACTGTAGTTTGACACATATTAGGGATCTATCACCCTACTTATAACTACCCATATGGCTCGAAACACGACCAAGACTACTCACAGGTTAAACTGAGCCAGGCCCCTGCATCCCCAAAACCAGAAGTCCGAAATCCCATCCCATAGACAGGTACGTCAAACACGACACCACAAAATAGATCATGTAGGGGCCTTAACAATTAAAATAGGGTTTTGGGGCCCAATATACTGTAACTATAATAAGGAACCCCAAAATAGTACGTATCACAAAATAGATGCTGCAAGACTCAACCCTAAAACGACGGATCCTTCTTGCAAAGACCACCAGCACGGAACCGCTCAAGTTCAGATCCCTAAAAAGCGACTTGACAAAACATAACATGTCCCGCTTCCATAGAATCACGACACCCAAAGCGAGGAAACTCTCAAACTTAACCTGTTTCTAAACCCTAAACCCACCCGTCTTCTCTGCTGCCTTGCAGCTCACATCCACCATTCTGAGGCGCTTCGGGTCCTGGGATTCGAAGAAACCTGGCTCCGCGAAGCGTGAGGGGTGGCTTTCGGGCTTCGGGTTTCAATGCCTCAGGGTTTAGGATTTTGGGGTTACGGAGTATAGTGCTTCAGGGTTCAGGGTTTAGGATTTTGGGGTTACGGGTTATAGTGCTTCAGGGTTCAGGGTTTAGGGCTTCAGGGTCTAAGGCAAGCTCTTGGGGCTGTCGGCTTTCAGGTTTCTTGGCCGAAGCTCCGGAATTGGGATCTATAGGGTTTGGGGTGTAGGATCTATGATCCACGGAGTGTGGGGTCTATGGATTGAGGTTATGACCTAGGGTTTCGGATCTAGTCATGCTTTTCCTGACGGCTGCGTACTAATAGCTATATCTGAGATTTTAGGCCCCAATACCTTAAACCCTAAACCCTAAACCCTACTCTTTGAAGGTTTCTCCTTCAGGGGCTTAGGTATGTACGGTCCTTACTAGCCCTAACCAAACCCCAAACCCTAAACCCTAAACCCGAAGCCCTACGATTCTGAGTCCCGCAACAGGTTTCGGAAGGAGCCCTTATAGGAAAACCCCACTTAGGGTTTAGGGTTTAGGGACAGATCCCTTATAGAAACCTTGAAACCCTAAAGCCCCCAAACCCAGAATCCCAGAACCGGGTCCCTATCGCGGCCTTACTTTATCTCTCCGAAGTGCAGTATAGCTTGCTTATAATCGGAGCCCTAAAAGGAATAGTATCTGGTTTTAAGCTTCGGTAGCCCTCCCCTAAAACGTAAAAGACCCTGAACCCTACACCCTAAATCCCTAAACCCCAAACCAAACCCAATACCCCAAACCCTAAACCCCTAAACCCTAAACCCCCCAAACCCTAAACCCTAAACCCCTAATCCTCAAAACCCCAAGCCCCTAAATCCTAAACCCTAGTCCCCTAAACCCTAAACCCCTCAACCCCTAAAACCTAAACCCCAATCCCCTAAAGTCTTCCCAGGCCTCGGTAGTCCCAGCAAACGAGGAGCGTCCCCGGGCCCCAGGCTTGGGCGATGCTCGCCTGCTTAGGGTTTAGGGTTTAGGATTTAGGGTTTCGGGCTTAGGGTTGAAGGTTTATAGGATTTAGGGTTTAGGGTTTAGGATTTAGGGTTTAGGATTTAAGGTTTAGGGTTTAGGATTTAGGGTTTAGGGTTTAGGATTTAGGGTTTAGGGTTTAGCGAGAGCCGTGGGTTTCATTTCGGGATTTTGGCTGTTGGCTTCAAGGCATTATAGGGTTGATTAGGGAATTAAGACTTCACAAGGTTTAATAGGGATTGTTAGGGGTTTAATTGTCGTGGGATTCTGCAGCGGCTGATGAGAATTTGACGGGGTTCAGACTTGCGATGTCCAAGTCATGTACTGCCGAATGTAACTGCGAAGATCAGCACTGCAATGCAACTATGGAGCCCTAAACCCTGAACCCCAAACCCTGAACCCTGAGCCCTAAACCCTAAACCCTGAACCCTAAACCCGCACCCTGAAAGGAACCTCAAAGAAACTCAAATCCAATCAAGGGGCGATAACGCTTCCCCACGAAGCAAAACCTTTCCTCGGAGGTTCGAAGGTTACTTCAGGGGTATAGGGGTTTAGGGTTTAGGGTGGTGCTTTCAGGGGACGGGTTTCGTCACGCCTACTACAGTCGCCGGATAACTTTCGTGTCATTTTGTCCATGCCGATGGCAACGATTGCCGTCCTGTGGTTACTGCCTGCTGGCTCGAAAGGGACTAGAGAATCTGAGACAGTACTGGGGACTCGAACAATAATGAGGGGCGAACCGCTCGAAAGCAACTAGAGAATCTGAGAATTAGGAGCGAATCGCTCAAAAGGGACTAGAGGATCCGAGAAAGAGGTGCGAACCTTTCGACACAGACAGAGAGAGAGAGAGAGA